TTTGAAGATTCATTTTTTTTGGAATGTTAATAATTAATATTATAGTTTATTTTTTTTTCTTATTAAAATATCTATCTAAATATCTAATCTAATAAGTAAGATCTTTTTTGATCTTTTTTATCAAAACAGTTGTATATAAATTTATATTTAATAATAGATTTACGTGATCAAATTTATAATAATAATAAATAGATCAGCCGTTTGGAGTTTATATAAACTTCAAACGGCTTAAACTAGATTACTATAGTCTCAGATGTGACATGCATTTTGCTTTTTAGGCTGCACTCGAGTGACGTGCATTTTACTTTTTAAGCTGCACACCTGAGACTATAGTAGTCTACACATCAAATGTTATATAGGTTGTATTTGTATCGTCACTTGAGAGCCACTGAGATATGCATCTGTATGACGTGCATTTTGCTTTTTAGGCCATACTCGAGTGACGTGCATTTTGCTTTTTAGGCCGCACTCGAACTGACATATATCGGGGTGACGATGTATTCAATCATATATCGTCATTTGTGGGTCCGATGTGAGGGCTATGCCCGAACTGGACACGTAGTGCCCCAGCTTTCTGGTTAATTCTTCGATGAGAGCCAGAGTTGAGGCACGTAGTGCCGAAATAGTTCCACCTGGAAGGTTTTTGAGATGACAAAAAATATATCAAACCTGAGGCACGTAATGTCAAATTGTTATCTTATCTGGTAATACACCAAAGCATCCGATGATAAGACACGTAGTGCCGAATTGTTACCCTTATTTGGTGTTACGTAAAAGCAAAAATTTATCTTATCTCTTTCCTTATAATATTCTGCCTTTGTGTATCATTGAAAGTTTACTATGTTTTCCCATCCTGGAGCCCCTTTTCGCATAGTTAATTTTATCTATGTATAATATTACTTTTATCTGATGTTACATAAAAACAAAGATTTATCTTACCTTATAATATTTTACCTTTGGGTAACATCAAAAATATGCTATATTTTATATTCTAGAACTCTTTTTTATATAGTTATTATTACGAAGCAATAATTCTTTGGATTTATCTTTTATATAAACACATAATGACTGCCTCCAACAAAAAATAAGTAATATCTTTGATATTATCTAATGATATTATATGTAATTAGACTTTTGTATTATTTCTTATCGAAGCTGATTTTTCTATAGAGCTATCAATCAATCCAATATGTGTATTTCTAAACTCGTTGTTTTTTTGGTCCTTCCTGTTTTCTACTACTTTTTATAGTATAACTATATTACTTACCTGCTATTGCATTAATCAGTTTTATTGTAAATTTGAGATCAGGTATTTCTTTAGCTCGGGACTTAAAACCAAAGAACAATAATGCATCTTGACGAATTTTGATAATTTTATCATGAGACTTCTCTAATGCTTCTGCTACAGTATCACCAGAAAGAAGACGTGTATCATCTATACTAATAAAACCTAATGATTGAAAAAGCTCTTGTATCGTTTTTTGTTGTTTTGTCAAATATTCAAAATTAATATCATTGCTTGAATCATTATCTGTAATAGAATCATTACTATATATACTTGATATATCTTCATCGGCAGTATAATATTTTGAATTGCTCATATTTTGATTAGTTATATAACTGATATTGTAAAAATTCAATATAAGTACTTTTGCGTATCACTTTTTCGATATCTGTTTAATGATATATAAAGTTTGAACCAGCTTCTAGCTGACACAAGCTTCGCTATTACATATCACTTATCTGAAATTCTACCTCGATTGAGATTATACAACACAAAAATGATTATATCGCAAAATCATAGTAATATTATGTAATATAACAACTTACCTTATCTCATATATTGGAAGCACTTATCAAAATTTCATCTCGACTAGGCAAGTAGGTGAACCGGGCAATGACCTATGTATTCTTTTGCGTATCACTTTTTCGATATTTGTTTAATGGTACTATGTGTCTTGATATTAGCTCCAGGCGATGACTACTCTCCGCGACCCAAAAACCCACTTTGATAAGTGTTTGGTCATCTAAATCCTATCATCCAAAATCGCATGACACAAAAACCCTTTATATGATCTAGGTATTGTTATCCGTGTAAACCTTCTACAATTTACAAAGACAACGGGATAAAATAATACTAAAACTAATAAATAAAACTA